ATCAGAAGATGGAAGAGTTGTGATAGTTAAAATACAGAGACGAGCAAAAGCAACTTTGATTGTTAATATATAAGCACCGAATCAACAACAGGAAGAATTTTTCAAGGACCTACAGAAAGTTATTGCAAACCAAACCTATGAAGAATTATGTATTACTGGAGACTATAATGCAGTGTTTGACAAAAGTGTGGACAGAAGGAGACAAGGGTTGAAACAGAAGAAAGGTAATGAACTACCAAACTCCTTACAATTAACAGAAGAACACACATTAGTAGATGCTTGGAGAGTTAGAAACATTAACAAAAAAGGCTATACTTTTTTTTCTGCAAGACACAAATCATGGTCAAGACTGGACATGGCATGGCTATCAACAAATATGGCGAATGATATTATAGATGTAGAAATTTTACCAATGACTTTTGCAGATTATAATCCTTTGCTTTTGACTTTACAGGACACACAGAGGAAAAATAGATGGACAATGAACGTATGGCTACTAAAAGATGTAGAATTCATCACAAGATCCAAAGTAGAATTTCAAGAATTTTTTAAGGTAAATAAACAACCAGAGTCTTCTCAAGATATAATCTGGGATGCTTTTAAAGCCTATGCAAGAGGATGGTTCATTAGACAAAATGTCTGGCCAAAGAGGAAAAGAAAGCAGAAATTTAGACAGATTGAAGAGCAAATTAAACAAGAGGAACAAAAGCTGCATTCTGAACTGGTAACAGAACAGAGAAGAATAAAGATTAAAAACCTACAACATCAACTTAACTGCCTGTTAACACTAGAAATAGCAAAGAAAATTATGGATGCAAAACAAAAGTATTTTGAAAATGCAAATAAACCTACTAGATGGCTAGCATATAAATTACAAAAACAAGATGAAAAGAAACATAAAATTATTAAAAAATGAAAAAGGTGAAGAGAAAAATACTCTTAAAGAAATAAAGGCGATTGCAGAAGGATTTTATAGCAACCTATATTTAAAAACAAACTCCAATCAAGAACAGATCAGAGACTTCTTACAAAAACATAATAAAAAGAAATTTACAGAAAACCAAAGGAAAATGTTAAATGAACCAATTTCCTTTTCAGAAATAATAGAAGCCATCAAAAAGAAGAAGAAAACTCCAGGTCCAGATGGCTTACCTGCTGAATAGCTTTCCCTTTGAAGGACACCATACAAAGTGTATATGAACAAAAAAAATTACCAGTCATGGAATCAAGCACTGATCACATTAATACATAAAGTGGACACAGATGGAAGTGAAATCAAAAACTATAGGCCAATATCTCTTCTTAATGCAGACTACAAAATATATGCTTCTATTTTGGCAAATAGATTGAAAAAGGTCCTGATTGAAATAATCCATGAAGATCAATTGGGATCTTTGCCAAAGAGACAAATGAGAAACAACGTATTAGAGTATTTTGAAGCACATCCTAAAAAACAAATGGTGTTATTATTTTTGGATGCGGAAAAGGCCTTTGATAATCTTAATTGGGCTTTTATGTTGGAACAACTGTTGACCTGGAATTGTGGAGAACACTTTTATAATATGGTAAAAGCAATATATACAACACAATCAGCAAGAATCATACTGAATGGAGATCTTACGAGAAATATCAACATTGGAAAAAGAACAAGACAAGGATGTCTGTTATCTCCGCTTTTATTCATCTTTGCTTTGGAAACACTGAATAATATAATTAGAGAAGATAATAAGATCAAGGGTCTTAAACATAATGGAGAAGAATACAAATTACAAGCATTTGCTGATGATCTGGTATTTATACTAGAAGAACCCCAGAAATCAATAGTTCACCTTTTACAAGTAATAAAAGAATATGGTTTATATGCTGGCCTGAAGATAAATCTTAAAAACAACAAAACTATTGTTAAAAAAACTGTACAAAGGAGCAAGAACAGCATATACAAAAAAATGTCAGAAATGGAAGTAGAAAGGAGAACTAATTGTTGGAGAGGATTTGAACTCTATCATAGACTACAATCTGGATATATCTCATAACAAGGGGAAAACTCAGAAACATAAAAAGGTAAAAACTCCACATTATTGGCAGACTTATTACAGCAACATTTACTTATTGATTTTTGGAAACAGCAGCATAAAGGCGAGAGGGACTTTACATACTAGAAAACATATTATAACTACCCACCTACCCAGTGGTTCGAAAGCTTGCGAGTAGACAAATGGGTACCTGCCTAGGTGCAGGGGGGTACCCACCTTCCGGTGGAGCGGCAATGGAGAGGAGCAATGGTGTTGGTGACAGGGCAATCCGGCGATTCAGCGAAAGAATGGCAGCGTATCTAACATCGAATAGCGAGCGCTCCAAGGCGGGGCCTGGCCTGGAGACGTGACAAAGTGACAGCACAGCTCGGCCGGAGCCTATCAGGACAGAGGCCGAGGAAAGGGGGCCGTCGCACAGTCGCAGAGCAATGGAACTGCCCGGAAGGAGCCGCTGTGGAGCCAAGCCAAAAACAAAAGACACCTACAGCGCAGAATCAAAGGAGAGGAGATCCGCTGGGAGATCCACAAAGAACCGGCAGGGTGCCTGATAGGTATTCACCTCCCCCCAATACTATGTGGCCCTAGTTAGAATTGGTAATTTGCAATGTAACCGCTCAGAGAACCCTCGGGATTAGAGCGGTATAAGAAATCGAAAGTATACATAAATAAATAATATATATGGCACTACTGGAACAAGAACAAAATCAGTTGTTAAGTTATCACATAGGTGGCACAAAATATGTAATAATACGATAACTGAGGAAGACTGGAAGTCTATGAGGAAAACATTTCCTTTTAACACAAATGTAACTGAAATAAGATGACAAACCTTTAAAATAATATCATTTTGGTATTTGACACTGCAGAAGTTGGCATATATATCTCTGACAGCAAAACCACTCTGCTGGAAACAATGTGGAGGAACTGGTAACTTGAACTGGTGGGAAAGAGCTCAAATAGAGTCCAGATTTGTGAAAGACAAAATGATGGGATTCTATGATGCACCTGTAGAAATAGATAAAATTTGGTGGTGATGGGAAATATATTAAACTCTTTTATAAAATCTTATTAGATGTGAAAATGTATGATGAGGTGGTAAAAGAAGCAATGATTAAATGGGCTGAAAATATAGGTCATAACATACAACTAGAACAATGGGAAAGATTATGGAAAGTTAACATAAAGCTTACTAAAGCAGTTTCATATAAAGAAAATACATATAAAATGTTTTATAGATGACATATGACTCCTGAAAACTTAGCGAAATGGTATCCAAGTATGTCAAATGTTTGTTGGAAATGTAAGCAAAATTTTGGTTCTTTTTACCATATGTGGTAGACCTGTGATGTTAAAAAATATTGGATATGGATACATGAAATAGTACAACTTGCTAATGATCCCTGGCCCAAAGGCCATCTGGCTATCCGCAGCCAGGGCCTTTTTGGCCCTGGCCCCAACCTGGTGAAACACTCTTTCCAATGAGACCTGGGCCCTGCTGCAGGCCTTGAAACAATTTCGCAGGGCCTGTAAGACAGAGTTGTTCCACCAAGCACTTGGTCAAGGATGAGTGCTGGCTTCCCACCTTGGACTATCTCCTACACTGCCCTCCACTGTGACTCTGGTGTGACTGCTGGGGTTGCTGGTTTTAATCTAAGTTATATTTAATAGTTCTGTTGACTTTAAATGTTGTGACCCACCCTGAGCCCTACTGTGTTTTACTATGAAAATGACAAATACAGACGGGCTATACATTTAATTTAATAAATAATAAATAAATAATACCATAGACTCCACCTTCCAAAGTGGCCATTTCTTCCAGGGGAACTAGGATTGCCATGCTCCAGAGGGGGGCTGAAGATCACCCAGAATTATAACTGCTGCCTAGGTGACAGAGATCAGTTCCTGGCTGCTTTGGAGTGTGGCCTCTTTGGTATGATGCCGTGCTGAGGTTGCTTCCCTCCCAAAACCTCACCCTCCCAAGGCTCCACCCCCAAATCTCCAGGGATTTCCCATCTTGGAGTTGGCAACCCTCAGGGGACCTGGTCTCTGTAGCTGGGAGATCTGCGGTGATTCCAAGAGATATCCAGGCCCTACCTGGAGGGTGGCAACCATTGAAGGAGAGAAGGAATCGGGAAAGGGGAGAGAGGCTATGGGGCTTTCAGGAAAAGGAAAGAGGAAATAGTGGGGGAGGAGGAAGTGAGATGCCTCCCTCAAGTCCTCCTGGGGACCCACTTGTCCTGAACTGTTTGTGTGCATTACTCGGGGGTGGGGCAGGACTTTGGCCTAGGAGTGGCAGGAGTGCTTCTCCTTCCTGAGATCAAGACCAGGTGCCCGCTGTGATTTGCCCTGCTCAAAGAGGTCAACAGAGCAACATCAGAAAACAGATTGCCATTAATTTGCCATCTAATTCAGCAACCTGCAGGAGGCACTGTGAACTGTTGCCATCTTATTCTGATTAGACTGAAATTTGCTTTGATATTTCAATTTAATGTTAGCGTTGCTTAGATTGTTTCTTCTGTTTAATTTTAATGTTTTAACATTACTGCATTGTTTAATAAAATGTTGTAAGCAGTCTGGAGCCTGCTTGTAGGGGAGCGCGGGATATAAATTAAATAAATAAATAAATAAATAATCTGAAGTGAGTTGGAAGAGATTCATGTTACACACGTACAGTACAATCCCATCTGAAGAAGTGAGCAGTGACCTGCAAAAGCTAATTTTGTTAGTCTTGAAGGTGCTACTGAACTCTGGCTCTTTTCTACTAGTACAATCCTAAACAGAGTTGTACCCTTCTAAGCCCAATAGATGTAGAATGGAGTAACCCTGTTTAGGATTGCCCTGATAGAGGTACAATTAATAAACTATGGAGGGTGTTTAAAAGTTTTTAAGGAAAAAGCTATAGAACGTCCGTTGTCATAAATGAAGAGTTGTGTTGGGGAGACTGTGACCACTGTTGTTTTCTTTCAGGAATGTCAGCTCTGCCGGAGAAGAGGCCCGCAGAAGAATGCGAGAGTGTGATGGACTTACCGATGCATTGCTGTACGTGATTCAGTCTGCTCTTGGAAGCAGTGAAATTGATAGCAAGGTTTGTCATCTTAGAGGAACAGAGTTGCTAGGCCTTGTGGGGTTAGGGTACAGAGTAGGAAGTTGGGATTTTATTGGAAGCATGTTTATTTCGCATACATATGGTATCCTCTAAAACTCGTGTTTGGGCAGAAAGATGTTCAGTCATGGTAGTAGTAATGAATTCTGAACTGTCCATATACGTAACACAAAACTTCCAACCAGAACAGGAAATACTCTAGACTGAGGTAAAGGCTTGAGAATTAGCTTTACTTTATGCGTTGAATATAGTGGGTTGAAGACCTCTTCTGCTAGTAGAGATGTTTTCCTATAGCAGATGGAGCCTCCCCTTGACTCTTGAAAAAAAGGGAAGTCTGTTTCTACTGGAGGAAAATACCTCCACTAGTAGAAGAGTTCTGTGGGATCCCACCTTTTTTGTTACACAAAAATTGCAGAAATAATATCTGGAGACCAAGTCCTGTGAGGAAATGTTGAAGGAGCTGGGTATATTTAGCCTGGAGAGGAGATGACTGAGAGGTGATATGATAACCATCTTCAAGTACTTGAAGGGCTGTCATCTAGTGGATGGTGCAGAGTTGTTTTCTATTGCCCCAGAAGGTCGGACCAGAACCAATAGGTTGAAATGAAATCAGAAGAGTTTTTTGGCTAAACATTAGGAAGAACTTCCTGACAGAGCGGTTCTCAGTGGAACAGGCTTCCTCGGGAGGTGGTGGGCTCTTCTTCTTTAGAGGTTTTCAGACAGAGGCTAGATGGCCATCTGTCAGCAATGCAGATTCTGTGAACTTAGGCAGATCACAAGAAGGGTTTGGCCGGAAGGGTTGCATCAGTGCTTAGTTCTTGTGGCCCTTTCTTACACACCCAGGGAAATGCTGATTGCCACCTTGGGGTCAGGAAGCACTTTTTCTCCAGGCCAGTTTGGCCGGAGATCCTGGAGGGTTTTTTTGTCATCTTCTGGGCATGGAAAAGGGGTCACTGGGGGGGGAGGTATTTGTGAATTTCTTCATTGTGCAGGGGGTTGGACTAGATGACCCTGGAGGTCCCTTCCAACTCTATCATTCTACCCATATTTAGGCTGCTAGGCAGGAAACTCAAGGCCAGGACCTTCAAGGTAGCCTTCTCAGAAGTGCTTCCTGTTCCACGTACGGGGCCGGAGAGACTGGCACAGAGTCTCAATGCGTGGATGGCGTAGGGGGGGAAAGGTTCAAGTTTGTTAGGTACTCGGATGCTTTTTGGAGCAAGAGGGAGCTGTACAGATGAGACGGTCTCCACTTGTCCTGATAAGGAACCAGGCTGCTGGCTCTTAAAATCAAAAAGGTGGCAGAGGAGTTTTTAAACTGAATATTGGGGGGAAGCCAACAGGAGATGAATAGTCTCTGGTTTGGGATGGCTCATCTCAAAGAGATGAAGGGGTAGCTGTTACTTCTCTACAAGGAAAAGGATTAGAATTGTCCACTGAAACTGTGGCTAACAATATGCACTGCCTGGCAAGGTCTCAAGGCAGCAAGAGGAAGGTTGTGGACTTAACATGCATAGGAAACAATAGGTGTTTATACACAAATGCTAGAAGTGACTGAGGTAAAATCAGGGAATTGGAATGCTTAGTGCTGGGGGGGGAGGAATAGACATTGTGGGTATTTCAGAAACTTGGTGGGATGAAAAAAATCAGTGGGATACGGTGATTCCTGGTTATAAATTATATCGGAAGGATGGGGGGAAGGGTTGGAGGTGGGGTGGCTCGGTATGTCAAAGAGGGTATACAGTCCAGTAAGATTGAAAGGGTAAGTGAATTGGATTTGCTTCTGGAAATGCTATGGGTTGAAATAGTGGGCCCAAAAGGAAGCTTTAACACTGGGAGTTTGTTACCACCCACCAGATCAAAAGATAGAGGAGGATTATAAAATGATGAATGAATTAAAGATAGCGGCTAGACAAAATAACTGTGTTGTGATAGGTGATTTTAACTACCCACACATTGATTGAGTCAATATGTGTTCAAGTTGGGAAAACTAGATTGAGTTTCTAGATACTCTTAATGACTGTGCTATGAAACAGATGGTTACAGAACCTACCAGGGGAGAGGCGATCCTGGATTTGGTCCTAAGTAACACTCAAGACCTGGTGAGAGATGTAAATGTGATTTCACCGCTTGGGAACAGTGACCATAATGTTATTGAGTTTAACATTTGTATAAATAGGAAATTGCCCAAAAAGACTGACACAACCACTTTTAACTTTAAAAGGGATAACTTCTCTGGTATGAGGGGACATGTGGGGAGGAAACTGAAAGGAAAAGTAGAAAGGGTCAAAACCATTGGGGAAGCTTGGAGACTATTTAAAACTACAATCCTAACTCAGAAAAAATATATACTGCAGGTTAGGAAAGGCACAAAAAGGTATAGGAAAAAAGCCTGCATGGTTAACAAACAAAGTAATGGAAGCTGTAAAAGGTAAGAAGGATTCCTTTAAGCGATGGAAAGCTAGTCTCAGTGAGGTTGATAAAAGGGAACACGGGCTGTGGCAAATAAAATGCAAGTCTGTGATCAGGCAGGCCAAAATATGAATATGAATATGAAGAGCATATAGCAAAAAAACATAAAGACCAGCAATAAAACTTTCTTCAAATACATTAGAAGCAGGAAACCAGCCAGGGAGGCAGTGGGGCCCTTGGGTGACCAAGGGGTAAAAGGAGTACTGAAGGATGATAGGGAAATGGCTGAGAAGCTGAATGCATTTTTTTGCCTCTGTCTTCATTGTGGAAGA